GTTCAAGCCTCGAGGCCGGACGATCGATTTTCACTTCCTATCGTCCACCCAGTGCTAGAAATAGCACGTTGAAAAGTAAGACCTTGTAGGTTCTCAACTCGTACATGATTTGACTTCTGAGAGTTGTCCTTTTTAGAGAGGCGACAGCTGGTTAACAGAAAAACAGATTTTCAACAGAACTATACAGAGAAGTGTAGAGAAAGTAATAAGGTTTTTTTCTCAAATGATGTAAATGTACAGCATATGGAAAATCATGTAGGGTATGTTGAAGTCTCAACCATTTTGGTATGGTCTGCAGGAGAAAGAGTGGAAAGACAAATCAATATAAAAATGGCTCTGACGTTATCTATAAAAAGTACTGCAGAAGGCAAGAATAAAGTCAGAAACACTAAAAGAACTCCTAAATGAGCTTATGTCTCTAAATTATTGACTGAAACGCAAAAGTGTTATTCGAAATCAAAAAAAGAAAGTTAGTTATTTGGTTTGGGTGTGGACATTTTCATCAGTGTGTTTTTGGAAAAAATAAATGACCCCACACTAATCTTATGGAAAAACTAGTTTCAGTGAAAATCGCTGAAATTTCAATATAATGTAGCACAAGCCATCCTGAACAAAAGTTACCATTGCGCCATCTCTCTGAATGCCGTCGTACCTATGGATTCTACAGGGAGTCAAATTTTGATATTTTGACGATTTTTCAAAAAATCCGGAATTTCATTTTCATCGTATACATCTGAATTTTCATAAGGGAATAGTCCAAAATGTGTGCATCAAAAAGTTCAAATGATAAATGTTTCTAGAATCAAAACTGGCGGGTATACAGAGGGTTAATGCTTGTTTTTGGTAATTTTCATCTAACTTTTTCAGAGAAAATATTCATTTTCCTGTAGATCCATATGCAATTGATGAGAAGGCGATCATATTTTTCATTTGAACCAACCATCCAATTTTAAATATTTGGAAGATACGGGCAGATCAAAAATATATTTTCAGTTTCCGAAAAATGTATCCTTTGTATGTGTCAACGTCTGTACTCATTAACCTGAATCCAAATGAAGTTGCGACGATGGTTCAAAAAATATGGAGGAGAGATATTTTGGAATAATTTTCAAAATCATCCGCGAATTTCTTTCATTTTCTGAAATAATGTAGACGAGTCATTCTTGATCAAAAAGTTCCACAGTGCCTACCTCGCGATGCCCCGGTTTGAAGTATAGTATTTCATCAATTTCTCAATAATTCCCTCTTGTAACGGAAAATAATATTGTTTCCTAGACAAACTTCGAAACATTCAATGACAAGATTATCTGAAATTAGAATTCATGAAAATACAAAGGTTGCAACTCAGTCTCATGTAAATATATTTTTGGGCATATACATACGAATATGATTCATGTTTCATACAGTGTATGAAAATATGATACAAATTCTATAAGGACCATCGTTTTCATTTTATGTTGCAAGAAATACAGATTGAAAACAATTTTCGGAAAAGTTCCCATGCTGCTTCGAATGTGTCTGTCAGTAAAGTATCATGCCAAGCATGGCCAATGTGCAGCAGAGTTTTCCAAGTGGAAGGGGCGTACATTTCCCTGCAATCCCTGAACTATTTCATTTTTCAAAAGTAGTTTTTTGATATACCAGTTTCAAGTTCACGTAGTCTGGTTTTATATGTTAGTAATCACACGTTAAAAGGTAAGGCCTCGTTAATCCTTAGCTCGCACAAGTTTCGACTTCTAAGGGTTGTCATTCGTAGAGGTACGACAGCTGGTTAACGTAAAAACAGATTTTTTAAACAGATATATTCCCGAATTGAGTACAGTTGCTTTCATAGAAAAGTACCTAGTACACTTAATTTCATCAGTGTAAAGATGACTTGTTAAATTGATAACTGCCATTATTTCCTCTATATAAAAAAGGCGACAAAACTGAGGTAGACAACTACAGACAGATATTATTACTTTGTTCCCTCTCTAAACTGTTTGAGAAAGTTGTTAGTAACAGAATTCTGAATTACATGGATCAAAATAATCTTTTTAGTAATAACCAATATGGCTTCAGGAAGAACAAATCTTGGACGTGAACCATATTTATTGTTTTTGTATTGTTCAACTTCTGTAGTTTTATTTTCGTTTTTTAATTATGACTTAGCACATGTACTCAATGTACCAAAGTGTCAAATAAATAAATAAATAAATTCTTTTGTGCTTCTTTAACATGTTTTAAAAAGCCAAAGGCAATTTTGAAAGATCTGATTAACAAAACATTTATTGTACTAAAATAACGTTTTCGTTTCCAAGACTTGTACCTACTACTTTTCTACGCAAAATATCCAAAATAGAGCAGTCCTTGGAGTGTCAATAAATTGCTGTCAGAATTACGAATGTTTTTTATAATTACATATTTTGATGTGTTGAAGTTGATGACATGTTATTATTTGCTAATAATTAGAGAATAGGTTGATGTTTTGGTCATCAATTACCTGTTTACTTTTATTTTCTACACTTCGAAGTTAGATAAGATGAGATAATCATCATCTTCAGTTGTATCTCATATGCCCAGGTCATCATGGCCTATCAAAATCAGGTAAATTGCTTTATTTGCGATACACGATCAATACCAGCTCGAATGTCACATCTTCATGGAGAATAACCTTTGGAAAAGTGTCAAATAGATATTTCTAGACGGGATGAACGAGGTGGTCCCCCTCTCATCATAGGAGAAGAAACAAGAATATATTTAAACTGTAATTGACCTATTATGAATAAAAGAGCGAAAGAAAAGTATTACTGTGAAAGAATTTCTACATCGTCAAACAAATCTAAAGAAAACTGGGCCATAGTCAATGAGTTAAGGGGAAAGACAAACATACTCCCAGTTCAATTGGAGATTGATCCAAATTCTCTCAACAATTTTTACTGCACAATAGCAGAAAAACTTACATCCACTATAACAGCACAAAATAACCCCTTAGATTACCTAAAAAATATCAATATACCCGAGGAATTCATATTAGATCATACAAATGTTGAGGAAATTAGAAAAACTTTAAAATATCCATTAAACTTTTTGAAAATCTTTCTGATCAGGTTCTTCATATTCTGGCGGATTCAGTGTCTTTCACAACTAGAACATTTCCTGGCGTCCTGAAAACTGCTTTAGTTATTCCTATTCACAAGGGGGGTGCAGCGAACGAGCCGTCAAACCTTCGACCAATTTCTCTTATACCATCTCTATCGAAACTTATAGAGAAACTTGTCAAGAAAAGAATGATATTCTTCTTTACAAAACATAATATAATAAACAATGCCCAATTTGGCTTTCAATCATGTAAGAATACTAGCGATGCTATCTTTGACTTCTTGGACGAGCTATATTTAGGCCTAAATCAAGGCGAGGCGGCCGCTGCAGTATTCTGTTATTTTTCTAAGGCCTTTGACTGTGTAGATCACAGAATATTGCTGAAGAAATTATTTCTTTATAGTTTCAGAGGGCCAACCCTCGAATGGTTCAGCTCTTTTCTCTCTGACAGAAATCAAATTGTCAAGGTAGGAAATAAAACATCCAGTCTCTCCAAAATATGCCGTGGAGTTCCTCAAGGATCTGTTCTAGGTCCTATCTTATTTCTCCTATATGTGAATGATCTTCCTAACATCAATATTGATGGTAAAATTACACTATTTGCAGATGACACCATTTTATTGTGGCGTGGAAAGGATTTGGTTTCCTTGAAGAGTACCATTAAAGCTGATTTTTATATATATGTGTATGTTATTTTGTGTAATAGTATTGTTTTCATATGCTTTGTCAATAAGATTTTTTTCTTAGACAATAAAGTACAGTGATTGATTGAAATAAGGGACTTGACGATTGATCCAACTTGTATGCATTGATATAGAAAATTGTAAATATCTTGAAAACGATCAACTCCAGCGTTGTTGAGGAAGTGCATCTTTTTACTTGGGAAAGGTGTGGGAATTAGGTACCAAAAGTGTACTGTCAAAAAAGTTAGGACAATTTAAACAAACAATGACAGCGTACGCTGCAGCGCCCTCTAAATGTTACACGAAAATTAATACGAAATTATGATTTACCACAACAAATAACCCCGGTTACTAAATTTCGTGCAAATAACTAATTTTTTGCAAAATCAATATTTAAAAAACGGACAAAAAATTCAATTTTTAAAAAACAGACAAAAAATTTAATTTCAACACCCTATATCTCCGAAACAAACCATTTCTGGACACAAGTTCATATAGACTTTTTTTCAAAATTGTTTCAGGAATACATCACTTGAATATTTTAACGTACTTATGTTACACCCTATATATACTTAAATATAGGCAGGGATAGCAAAGTGATTGAGCAGTGTGAATTCAACACACAATGTATTAATTAGTAGAATAATTAGATACTACCTATAAAAGTGTCAGTTCTAATATTGAGTTGACAAACAATACCAACTGTATTCCAACAACAACAACTAACTCAAATTAATTTTACTAACTTGAATTACACAATCAAAAATCTTAAATTTGTTGTGAAATGTCATTGAAAAAACCGTGCAAAGTACTTTTTTTTCCTTTTTGTCATCGGCATCGACTACAGTGGTCATTAGCCTCGTTCGTGTCCTGGGTAGGCAATGTTAATAACTCCCCTAACCACCAAGGGAGCATCATGACTATTCACAGTCCGTCAGGCATGTATCGTTGCAGAAAAATCTCAACCTCAACTAGGTAAATTCTCTCGAGAAAAATATCTGGTCGAGGTTGGGATCGAACTCACCACCTTCCGGTCATGAGTCAGGCGCATTACCACTGCGCCAATTCACTGCTCAATATTTTTCTTTTATTCTAAGAATAATTTAAAAATTATGAAACTTATACCAAAGTTGATTTTTCATGGATATGGAGCATAGGTATAAGTTATGTTAGTACAGTAGCTAGTTTATAATCGATGAATTGATCGTTTTATTATAAAAATAATAATTTCTTATACTTGTGGTTTCCTGATTTTTTAATGTACAATGTACTATATTCTAAACATTTGTATATATCTCTGCATTCAATAAAAAATTACTACATAAAATATCACAATTGTAAAATGCAAATAATTTCAGAGTAAAAAAATAATTAGCAACATGTCCCACATTACAAAAAAAGAGCTGTTTAGAATACATATAAAAAATAAAAACTATTTTTTACAAACGTTCCAAAGTGAAAAGATCTGAAACAATTTTGCTCAATGCAGGTCCAATCTTTTTTTTATATTTCCCGAATTGTATCTGTTCTAGCAGTTTTTCCGGTTTGACATCTTCATTCTCCAAATAGGCCTTCAGTAAAAGTGAAGGAGAGGGATAAACTTCCACAATTGCCAAGGCCTTCTCGACTGAAATTCCTTTAACTTGTACCAACATTTTGACAAACAGTTCTGTCACCGTCGTTGCCTGAAAATCATGTCATTAGAATTAAAAATTTTATTTTAGATTATGTTGTGGTGAGACATTCATTGAATAAATCAGATAGTATCTGTCCACATTTTTGTGAGAAAAAATTAATCAAATCGTACCTATGATTGATGAACCAATTCACATCAAACCACATTTGTTTTCAACTGATATTATGTTTCTACAATATAGTGCATCTTTTCATTAATATAGGCTTATTCGGGACTGGCTGAATGGAAATCTAAAGTATATGTTACACAACCAAAGTCCATTCCAGATAAGATCTGCTTACAACGAATTCAACGTGAAGAAATTAATTTGTGAGCATACTTCATTATCATTATCAACTGAGCGTGAATACTTTGAATATTTATTGGGATGAACTGACTTTAGATTAAAATTTTTATTGAAATCACGATTTTTATCGTGTAGAATATAAAACTGTTAATTATTGGTTGATTCTATTTTGTAAAATAAAAAACAAAAACACCAAACGAGGTGTAATGGAGTATGCAACTCGATTCCTAAATAATTGTGTTGACCGATAAGTTTTTTGCATGTATATATGTATTCTCTTGTATGTATTTGTAAATTCATCAGTGATGAATAAATAAATTCTAAAATTGCAGCATTTGGCTACATACTTGAATAGTGTTGATCAGTAAAATTATACCATCACCGTGCCAGGTGGCTAGAGGTACTGAGTCAGTAGTTCTAATATTGGCCACCGATGAGGTTCGCTACACACCTCTAATGTTAATTCAGTTAGAGGCTTGACAAACCAGTTTAAGAATAGACTCGATATCACTCGTCAGTGACAATAGTCTTGTATCTTCAGCGTGCTGAGCTGGACACGTTAAAGTTAATTTGAAAAGCCAATCGTCGTTCCAAGAACCGAAAAATCCAACCACTCTCACATTTTTACTGGAACATCACTAAAACACTTGCAAGGAGAGTTCACCGTTTAATAATATGATAATTGACGCCTTCATTATTTCCACTTATTAGATACTATTATAATATTTTAAACTGAACATAATTCAATATAAATGAAAATAAAAGGCCCAGAGTTCACTTTTTGTATAGACAAGTCTCTAAAAAAAAAACTGTTCTTCCACTCAACTTTGATAAAGTCTCTGTAATAATTTTACATGTAGATAGTGCGTTTCATTTTCAGAATTAAAGGTTAAGAAAAAGAAAAACAAAATATAGTTGATTTAATGACTGGAAACTTACTAATTGATTTTGAAGTAAATCTCTGTATCTGTAGAGTAGGGAGGGTGAGTGTAAGCCCACGCACTTAGGCCACTTGTATTATATATTCATATAGTGACTTACCTCGGGCGTTGATATCCTTGCTGCCCCAGCTCACGTGGTGAGAGTTTGAGTCGCAACCCAATATGAGCTCCACTCTCTGGTTGAGGCAGTGGTCCACTAGTAGTAAGTAAATATAACTTTAGGTGATTTTTGAAATGTGAAATGCTCTAGTGTTTAACCTTCTGGGGAAATTTATTATATATTCTGGTGATTTGAACCTCACGGTCAAATTGCGGATGTCGGAACGAAAAATAATATTTCCGTGTAGATAACACGGAATTTCATTCGTGATAATCCTATGAAAGAGATTGGCACTATGGAGATGTCTCCTGTTAGCCATATTCAACCATCCGGAGCTCGTAATTAATGTAACGTCTACAGATTAAAAAAATCAGTCCTCAACATGAATTTTGTCCCTGTTGAACTTCGTTTTGATGATGGCTTGTTGAGCAAGGACCATATGAGTAATCACCATAATTGAGCAAGGACCATAAAGGGAATCACCATAATTGAACAATGACACCACCAATGTCTCACTAAGAATAGCTTTCACATACAGTGTTACAGCTATTCGACTTCAGTATATCGTTTTCAAAATTGAATATGCTCATTGTAATGACCATTGATATACTTTTTGAATCTCAAGTTAGTATCAGAATACCGAGGCTTTTAGCTTTATTAACCAATGCCCAGCATCAATGTCTGTATTGATGAGAATGGAGGCAGTTTCTTTGTCTTCCAGATGAAAGCTGTAATACATTTGTGTCATCAGTATAGATGAGTGGAACATTTTTCAAGAGAATCTTTGAGACATGAAGTGTATATGGTAAACAATAACGGCTCTAGAATAGTACCCTGGGGTACACCAGCAAGAAGATCCTTATACTGAGATTGGTTATTATCTATAAATACTTTTTGTTTTATTACTGTCAAGTAGCTGAAAAATGTCCGAGTTGCCTCAGAGAGCCTAATAAAGTACAAGATGTTCAATAACAGTCGGTGCACAACTGAAGTCCAGAAGAGTTAATACAGTGCAAAATCCTTGATAAGTAACTCTGAAAATATCGTCAGCGACATGCAAGAGGACGGCTGTGCCCTTTCGAAATCCAGATTGAACTGTAGGCAGCAATGAAATTTTTTCTGCACTTCGATAGCCTTCTCCAATACTTTGGACAATGTTGGTAAAATGCTTACTGCTCGCAAGTCATTACATTCAGTAGGCCTAGACTTCATAGGTAAGACTTTGACAAGAATTTGATCAACCTAACTTTCATCCCATCACACCCTCAAGCAACTGTTCTGGTGTTACACAACGTTGTGTAGACGAACAAATCATTAACTTCTTCAAAGTGGAATGATGCACTCACTTTTCGATTGGTTTTACAGAAAATCAAAAGTTCGTCAGGTGGTTCATCGATCTGTAAAGAGTCAATGAAAAATGCATTGATCTCGTTTGGATTCTTTAGTTGTTCAAGTAAAATGCGAGATTTGTCAGGAAGAATTTTCGATTCTCTTAGTGTAGACCATATTTGTTTTTTGTAGATTCCTCTAAATAGTTCTCAAGAATATAGTTTCAGTTCGTACAACCTCCAACTGAGCTAACTGAATAAAAAAAACAACGTTACAGAGGTATTTGAGGGAAAAACTAGATAGTACTTTCTGGGCGGCAAGTTACGCCACACTTATTTTTTTTCTTATTGAAAAGTATTAAATATGATGCTTTTTTTATGAAAATTTGTCCGACCTTGATATCTTGTCCCATTCAAAAGTGTCCGCACTGTATATTATTTAGTATTAATAATATATTATCATTCCTATATTGCACCATCATCTTTTCACTGCTCAAATAATGTTATCAATTCAACTATGGTGGTTATTTATTATTTCACTTGTGTAGTCATCAAGAGTTTAGAGATTTTTCAGTTTACGGTAGCAGGAGGGGGTGTCATGATTGCTAACATTGCGGCCCACAGATTGATGTGAGGACATTGTTGCAATGCAAATTTCATAGCTTATTGAAAATTTCATACACCTACTCTACTTCTGTATTTCAAAAATGTAGCTAAAATTGGCTCCAAATCCAATAATCATAAAAATAAAAGTTTTAGTTTGAGGAACGGCTTTAACTTTTGAAGTAGACGACCCTTCCTAGCCAGATTGTTGGATTTGGAAATAGAAATATATTACATTGTTGATAAAATGGATATTTAAATTTTTTATGTTCAGTAGCCCCGAATTCTACTGCAAATTATTGAAAAATCTACGCGAAAAAATTGATATAAATATTCTAATTAATGTGTTGTCACAGTATTATTTTTTCTATGATGAGTGACACAGAAAAGTTGCAATACTGTAACAAAAATTGATTAAACTTTTTTTTTATAATGTAACCAAAAGACAGCAGTCAATTAATTGACAAGATTGAATTAGACCTGACCAACGTCTTCAGTTCAATCGGGATGGAGGCCAGGTCCCAGGCCAGGTCAGCTGATTTTTGTCGAAGAAGGACAAATAAGATTGAATTAGAGATATGAAACATTTGATCTCTGCATCTTAGGCAAATAACAAATACATTAAGATCACGGAAGTAAGCACTTCAGTGAAGAAAATTTTGTATGAAAATAAAAATAAAAAAAACTTAAAATGTTGTTGGAATATCATCAGTTTGGTTAACTTTTTTTACTTTTTCCAGTATGTCAATATGTAATTTTTCGACGTTGGTGTTGAATTTGAAATCGGAATTTCAAATAAAGGCGAATTTGGCTCAAAATTTCTGTGGAGGGGTAATTGTCATGGTGAATACTTCATATGTGAAAGTATGTGTTGAAAAAAAATCTCTTTGAAATCTGTTTTTCCGTTAATCAGCTGTCGCCCCCATACGAACGACAACTCTCAGAAGGCCGCGGCCAATATTATAAAACTCATTTGCAATGTATTGATTGTTGGTGTCGGGGAAGGGACTAGCCCCATTACCCCTCCATAAACAGCAGTAACTGCATTTGAAACATTGTCAATGGTATTTCTGATCATGAGATGTTTTCTACAGAATTATATTACTTCTCATTCAAGATATTCGGGGCTACAAATCTGAAAAAAATCCCGAAGCGGCTATGAAGGTATTCGAATATTTCCAGTTTTGTTGATCTGGACATACGAACAATAAATATTGTGCATTTGATACAAAGTTGAAACAATTTGTATGCTTCTTCATGTGAAAGCCTGTCAGTAAATCGGTTTTAATAATTCTTATAATTCTGAATATATTCACCAGTTCTCACGTAAAGAAATCAATATAGATTTCACAAAGAACCAGACCAAAACTCTCACCTTGTTTTTTAAAGAGGTTTCATTGAACTCCTTGAAAGTCATCAGTGAAAATAAATCATCATTCAATTGATTTTCGTCCAAACTGTCCTTTGGACAGCTCATCACAGCTTTGTCCTAAAAATAAAAACTACATGTTCCACAATGCAGTACTAATTATATAAAAATTCAAGTAGTTTTCAAGTTACATGTTAAAAGCAGTTCATGTCCTTCGTCATCATCATACCAAATCGCTTTAGAGCTAGATATACTTGAATCTATAGTAATATGCATACTCAAAGGTGATATAAAATTGATTTCAATTACACTGTGCTCAGAAACTTCATCCTATCCGTATTGATATCATTATTGTACTATTGCAGGGGGGTCATTAGGAAACCATGTATTATGAAGAAAAGAGAATTGAAACTTTCTATATTTTTACTACTTTTAAAAAGCGGTAAGAAACATAGAAAGTTTCAATTACCTTTTCTTCATTATGATTTCCAACCATGTAGTAACGGCTTTATCCATCAATTTATCAAACCATGTATTGTTTACTCTCCTCTAAAACACACGTAATCAGTGTAATAAGTATAAAGTCTTTGTCAATATGCCAGATGCAGCACTTCATATAGTGGCCAAACTGAAGAATGATTTGTTTCAGCACTTTGACTTTTTTCAATTTTTATTGTTCCAAAGTTCATCTACTTTTTTCATTTCATTGTCAAACTGATTCGGATTTTGAATGTGAAGAAGTAAATATATTAATAATTGAGTTAATGTGTTTTTTTTTTTCATTCTTATTATAAAATCTGAAAAACAATTTCCAATACTTTATTCTGAATATAAGATTGCTGAAAAGCAACACGAACAACTCTTACAAAATGTGATGAAATTGCCCGATACTAGATGAAAATTCATCAACGTTCTCAAGGCATGTTCAGTACTACTTAACATCTCTGAAGAAGCAGTTGTATAGTGAAACACGTGTCTCTGTTTGTTAAACTGTTATTGAAAAATCTCAAGGAAAATGTTATTTAAAAATTCTCACAAAGACCCGAAAGTCAATTTTATTTTAATAAAATCTAAATTTGCTCAAATAAAAGTAAAGGTACTCGGCAAATTATACATGAACTCAACGGGAAAAAAAAACACTAAAATAACATTGCATCAAAAGTAGATGATGAAAGTATTGTAGAATCAAATCGCTGAATCAGATATTCACAAGATATTTTTTAATAAAAAAGCATGTTCAATCAACATGTCAATAACCATGGTTCTGATTAGATATGCAGTCATTTACTCAATTTTATAGTTCAACCATTGAATATTGCAGTTTTAAGGGTTTCATGTAGAACAAAAAACACCATCGTTAGTCATTTTCAAAAATTTAAGATTTTAATAGTTAGTGGTCTACATTTAAGAACTGCTCAAGAATATACGTGAAGTTCGTGATATCCATATGTTTCTCCACGAATAGTGGATCACACCAGCCGCTGAACTCCATACAGTGACCACAGTCTTTTTAGCGAGTTTTCGCCTATGGGAAGTGCCTGAGTGGCTCATCAGTGTCCAACCACTGCCCTGAACATCGCCTGTTGTCGTAAAGGATCCACTTTTCATGAAACATGACGATCCGTTCCAAAAAAGGATCATTTTGTTTACGCAAAAGCAAAGAACAGGCCCCAAAACGTGACAATTTCCGCCGACTATTCAAACTTTCTAATACGTTTTAAACCATCAAAAACTGCATGGGAGGTGACGCCCAGTTCTTTCGCCATCCCACGCACCGTTTGTAATGGGTCAGTCTCCTCCTGGATAATTTTTCGGGCTGTTTCGGACAAAAATATAGAGTACAAAATTTCTCTATATAGATTAGAATATAGCTCAATTTTCAGGAATGACAATCATATTAAACTTACATCTAAGAGCACAGTAATCAAAATTAAAGATAAGAGTGTCAGGTACAACTGATTGGATCAATCTAGGAACCCGAAGAAAATTATTTGCTTGGGTTTAAATATTAAACGCATTTGTATGAATTGAAATATTAAAATGAATAAGGTGGTTTGAAAAAACATTTGTGTCTTATTCTCTTTGCAGGTTCCCTTCATAAGAATATCTATTCTGACAAATATTTTATAATAGAGTAAGGTAATAGATCCACTATAATATTGACACAGTAAAATAAATATTTATTGAAATATGGAGCTACAAAAACACATGACATTAGAAAGGACAAAACTTTTGAAATAATCTAATACAATACTGGACAGAAAAATATTGAGTTTTTTGATAGAAAGAATTAGTATTTGTTTGAAGGTGATTGACAATGTTTCATGATGAATTTCACTAGTTCGAACTTCTATTGTCTACTATATAAAATGATTTGAAATCCCTGAAACAACTAAAAAAGAAGAATTGAAAATGATTAGCTGAAAATAACAAATATATTAACCAAAATAAACCTGAAATGAAATAATAGTGAAATAAAATACAAGTAAAAATAGAACAATTGAATAAATAAAAATGAAGAAATGAAAAAGAAAATAAAAATGAAAAATAAACAGTGGAGAGATTCCAAGTCACGTTAGTTCACGAGGTTTCGATTGTTAGTATCTACAATCGCCTTCGGTAACTACAATGACCTCTTAGTTTCACCAATATAGGATTTTCCGCACTCACAGGGTATCCGGTAAATGCAATTCTTGGAATCGCAGTCCGCGTTTGGTCTAATAGAGTCAAGACTCTATTAGACCGTGCTTTTGGGCTCTGTAATACGAAGGAAGGTCTCGAGAAAACGAGGCCACCAAACGCGGACTGCGATTCCAAGAATTGCATTTACCGGATACCCTGTGAGTGCGGAAAATCCTATATTGGTGAAACTAAGAGGCCATTGAATGTTCGCATTGCCGAGCACAAGCAACACACACAGCGAGGGGAAACCAGCAAATCAGGAATAACAGACCATGTTTGGACCCATCAACACAACATCGAGTGGTCCCAAGCTGAGATATTGCACAGAGAGGAACATTGGTTTAGGAGAAAATTCAAGGAAGCCGCATACATGTTGTCCAACAACGTATTCAGCCAAGCCAGCGTAGAAATACGCAACATATGGAAACCCATCATCAAGCGAAAAATGGCCAACTCCCGCCAAAACGGTCATCT